AGCATGTTCCATTATGTAAGACGAAATGAATTTTTATTTTTGTTAGAAAATGTAACTTTGTAAAATCATTATAAAACACATACTCAAATTTGGTGAACTTGTTCAGTGTACCGTATAGATGCCCCCATTAAAAGGAATGTAGCTAGTTTAGAAGGACCCTGTATTATAATAAAATGATATTGCTTATTTATGGAATTTGTTACATGTATACAGATAGAAAAACCGATTGAAATCCGGGTTTCGATTTTTAAAACCGGTTTTAGAATTTGTCGAAAAAGGGCGGTTTTTCCGATTTTTCGGTTTCCGATTAACCGGTTTTGCATTCCCTAAGTAAGATGCAGTCTAGGATGGTACATATCTGCCCTGTCAGTGCCTATTCACTCTCGCCTTGAAAAGGCCCGGATCAGCAAAGACAGCAGCAGGCAGCGAATTCCTGTTATGTTATTTTGTCCATTGGGCTTCGGACTTTTTCATGGTCCTTCGAGCCGGATTCCAACTATCTTTTGTGGGCTTATACATGGTCCTTTTTATCAGATACTGCGGCCACGGCGACGGCTGCCACTTCGCGAACGGCGGCGCGAACGGCGCCGGCGTGGAGGGCGCCGCTGGTGCTCGGGCTCTAGTTGTGCTGTCGGGCTGCGGCTCCGTGCTATTAGAATAAGGCAACTATAGCCAAACGATGTCGGCATCGGACCGCTCGGTCGATAGTAGATAGATAGGTCGAGTCTAATATAATTAAGGACGTGTTGCCATAAAAACAGTCTATCGGACGGAGCGAATTTTGGAATTTTCACTGTAATGTTATTTTGTCCATTAGGCTTCGGACTTTTTCATGGTCCTTCGAACTGGATGCCAACTGTCTTTTGTGGGGTTATACATGGTCCTTCGAGCCGGATACCAACTATCTTTTGAGGGCTTCTACATGGCCCTTTAGGATCCCAACTGGCTTATCCTCAGATATTGCGGCCACGGCGACGCTTCGGATTTGTACGTGGTCCTTCGAGCCGGATACCAATGTTATTAATCTTCAGATACTGCGGCCACGGCGACGGCTGCCACTTCGCGAACGGCGGCGCGAACGGCGCCGGCGTGGAGGGCGCCGCTGGTGCTCGGGCTCTAGTTCTGCTGTCGGGCTGCGGCTCCGGGCATCGGACCGCTCGGTCGATAGTAGATCGATAGGTCGAGTCTAATATAATTAAGGACGTGTTGCCATAAAAACAAATCAGACGGAGCGAATTTTTGAAATGTCACTGTCATGTTACTTTGTCTATTATGCTTCGGATTTGTACATGGTTCTTCGAGCCGGATGCCAACTGTCTTTTGTGGGGTTATACATGGTCCTTCGAGCCGGATTCCAACTGTGTTGTGGGGTCATACATGGTCTTTCAGGATGCCAACTGCCAATCTTCAGATTATACATGGTCCTTCGAGCCGGATACCAACTGTTTCTTTATCAGATAGAGCCGGATACCAACTGTCTTTTGTGGGATTATACATGGTCCTTCGAGCCGGATACCAATGTTATTAATCATTAGATACTGCGGCCACGGCGACGGCTGCCACTTCGCGAACGGCGGCGCGAACGGTGCCGGCGTGGAAGGCGCCGCTGGTGCTCGGGCTTTAGTTCTGCTGTCGGGCTGCGGCTCCGTGCGCTGGTGCCGCTCCGGGCTATTAGACTAAAGCAACAATGGCCAAACGGTGTCGGCATCAGATCGCTCAGTCGATAGTAGATACATAGATAGGTGGATTTCGTTAATCCACGTCTAATTAAGGACGTGCTGTCATAAAAAACAGATCAGACGGAGCGAATAAACCGATTTTGGAGTTGAAACTGTCATACATGTTACTTTGTGTATTGGGCTTTGAAATTTTATATGGTCCTTCGAGCCAGATACCAACTGTAGTTTGTTATCAGATACTGCGGCCACGGCGACGGCTGCCACTTCGCGAACGGCGGCGCTAACGGCGCCGGCGTGGAGGGCGCCGCTGGTGCTCGGGCTCTAGTTCTGCTGTCGGGCTGCGGCTCCGTGCGGCTCAGGGCTATTGAAATATAAGACAACAATAGTCGAACAGTGTCGGCACCAGACCGCTCAGTCGATAGTAGATAGGTCCTTCGTGCATTTAGAACGGACATGCTGCCATAAAAACAGTACAGACGAAGCGATTTTTGGAATTGTCAGTCATGTTACTTTGTCTATTAGGTTTCGAATTTTTTCATGGTCCTTCGAGCCGGATGCCAACTGTCTTTTGTGGAATTATACATGGTCCTTCGAGCCGGATATCATCATCATCATCATTTCAGCCATAGGACGTCCACTGCTGAACATTGGCCTCCCCCAATGCTTTCCATGTTGATCTATTGGAAGCGGCCTGCGTCCAGCGCTTCCCTGCTACCTTTATGATGTCGTCGGTCCACCTTGTAGGTGGACGTCCCACGCTGCGGATATGAATATTATTAAATTATTAATCGTCAGATACTGCGGCCACGGCGACGGCTGCCACTTCGCGAACGGCGCCGGCGTGGAGGGCGCCGCTGGTGCTCGGGCTCTAGTTGTGCTGTCGGGCTGCGGCTCCGTGCTATTAGAATAAGGCAACTATTGCCAAACAGTGTCGGCATCAGACCGCTCGGTCGATAGTAGATAGATAGGTCGAGTCTAATATAATTAAGGACGTGTTGCCATAAAAACAGTCTATCGGACGGAGCGAATTTTGGAATTTTCACTGTAATGTTATTTTGTCCATTAGGCTTCGGACTTTTTCATGGTCCTTCGAACTGGATGCCAACTGTCTTTTGTGGGGTTATACATGGTCCTTCGAGCCGGATCCCAACGTGGGCTTATACATGGTCTTTCAGGACGCCAACTGTCTTATACATGGTCCTTCGAGCAGGATATCAATGTTATTAATCATTAGATACTGCGGCCACGGCGACGGCTGCCACTTCGCGAACGGCGGCGCGAACGGTGCCGGCGTGGAGGGCGCCGCTGGTGCTCGGGCTCTAGTTCTGCTGTCGGGCTGCGGCTCCGTGCGGCTCCGGGCTATTAAAATAAGGCAATAAATGCCAAACGGTGTCGGCATCAGATTACTCGGTCGATAGTAAATAGATAGGNCGCCCATAATTATGCTAAAAGACAGAATAAGTTAATCTGGAGCAAAGAAAGTTATCTCACGATATCGTATCGTGGTGGTGAAAGAAAAGTGCGTAGAAATTACCATCTGTACTTGCTAGCTATATGGAGTTATCGTCAGTGCCTAAAAATTTAAATTACTGTCGTTTAGAAGATATTTGGTTTTATCTTAATATCTTGATATTTTATGAATCAATTGGATTGTCAGAAAATAAATCTGATTAAGTGCTCCTCTTAAATCGATCGAAGGACATGTTAAGGATAGAGTCGGACACCATTCTCCGAACATATTGAATAAAAAAGTTAAACTAAGGATTTTATGTTTTTTGGATCTTAAGACAGCAAATAATTGCAATGTTGTCGACTTTTTTTTTGTAATCAACAAATGACAATGTCCTTGCTAGAATCAAAAATGTAATAATAATAAAATTAAATGTAATTTTTAATGCATCTATGTTTATTTCGTTCACATGATTACTTGGGGTATTGTTGCCTAGGAATCGCGGTCACGGCGATCGTCAAATATTACGACTACCGAAGAAAGTAAAGGCATAAACTGGACTATGAAAAGAAACAATGCATTTAGCATTTAGTGGTGTTATTGTTAGTTTGTGGGTATTTCTAAAGTCTTTGGACAAAGAGATAATATTGCGATGATAGGGATACTGTCAAGAGTAATGATTAACACTAAACGAGTGTTTTTAGAGGCTCGATAGTTCGATCCCGTCGATCTTAGAACTATTCGGTGAATCCACGTCTAGTGAAATTAAGGACGTGCTACCATAAAAGAGGTCATACGGAGCGAATAAACCGATTTGGAATTGAAACTGACATTCATGTTGCTTTGTCTATAAAGCTTCGGCCAAATCAACGCGTGCAGCCTGCGTGCGCGATAGCGATGACAATCAGATATTGTGTATGAATTTGTAGCGATGAGTTCACATCAACGCATCTTGTCATTGCTCGCGACGATCTATGCACGCCCAGTGCACGGTTTGGTCGAAGCGTTAGACTTCGGACTTTCCATGGTCCTTCGAGCCGGATGTCAACTGTCGTTTACTATCAGATACTGCGGCCACGGCGACGGCTGCTACTTCGCGAACCGCGCCGGCGTGGAAGGCGCCGCGGGCGCGCGGGCTCTCGTGCTGTTTTAATCAACAATTATAAAGCAACAATAGCCAAAGGTGTCGACATCGGACAACTCGGTCGATAGTTCGGTCCCGGTCAATCGTAGAACGATTCGTTGAATCCGTCGTCGTCTAATATACTAAATAAGGACAAGCTACCGTAAAAAGAGATCCGACGGAGCTGTCACTGTCATGTTACTTAGTCTATTAGGTTTCAGACTTTTCATGGTCCTTCGGGCCGGATACCAACTGTTTCTTTATCAGATACTGCGGCCACGGCGACGGCTGCCACTTCGCGAACGGCGCCGGCGTGGAGGGCGCCGCTGGTGCTCGGGCTTTAGTCCTGCTGTCGGGCTGCGGCTCCGTGCGGCTCCGGGCTATTAAAATAAGGCAATAAATGCCAAACGGTGTCGGCATCAGATTACTCGGTCGATAGTAGATAGATAGGTCCTTCGTGCATTCAGAATGGACATGCTGCCATAAAAACAGATCAGACGGAGCGAATTTTGGAATTGTCACTGTCATGTTACTTAGTCTTAGTCTATTATGCTTCGGACTTGTACATGATCCTTCGAGCCGGATGCCAACTGTTATTTATCCGGACTTGTACATGGTCCTTCGAGCCGGATACTAACTGTCTTTCTATCAGATACTGCGGCCACGGCGACGGCTGCCACTTCGCGAACGGCGGCGCGAACGGCGCCGGCGTGGAGGGCGCCGCTGGTGCTCGAGCTTTAGTTCTGNGGCTCTAGTCCTGCTGTCGGGCTGCGGCTCCGTGCGGCTGGCCCGGCCGCCGGGACGCGCGCCGCCGGCTGCGGCCCATCACCATCTGCACATCGCTGGAAGGTACGGACAATCACTCATCTTTCACACTTTCTCATTTTTCTTTCACAATCTGTCACAGTCATAGGCGTAGCCACGGTGGCTTTAAAGTACTTGTACTGAGTTTCTTCCGCCACTTCTTCTCAGCACCAGCCCATATGTTGTCCCGAAGTGGTGATAGGGCAAGCTATGTATATTTGCGACGTGTATAAGTGCCCCGGAAAGGGCCATGTACTGAATAAAATATTTGAATTTGTACCTAACAAAACCTAAAAAAAAATTACTTAAATGCGTTAGAAAGTTAACACTCGACAGTCGACGCAAAAAAAATGCGATCAAAACAAAAAGCTCATAGGTTGGTCATGTCAGGTACTAGGCTGTAACCTTTTTTATGAAATAAAAATATCGGGGTAAGGCTGGTTTTAGTGTCACGCGGACTGTCAGTGCGGATCGCTCCGCACAGCCAATGTGTATGTGTATGATCTGCTAGAGAGCGAGCGGTTCCTCCTTACCGCATTACTCTAAAAAACTCTCTAGAAGTTTATACAGATCGGCTGTGTGGAGCGAATCCGCACTGGACGGTCCGCGTGACACTAAAACCAGCCATTATATTGTCCACAGACCCCTCTCTCCCACTGGGCACTTTGGGCACGTACCCAGGACCGTTTAGGTGCGATTGGTCCAATTCGCGATTGGTCCAATTCGCTATCGGGCCAATTCGCTATTGGTCCAATTCGTAATTGGTCTAAAATAAAAGGGTATCCAAAATGAAAGAAATAAGGTTATTCAACTTTTACTACTTAAGTTAAAGACGGCCCTCTGGGGTGGATACTGTGTGGATCACCCAAGATGTTGGGCTACCGATTCGAAGATAATATGTAGTTGACAGGTAGCCATTCATTTACCACATATTATGTCCATTGTATTGATGTCCTCACGTTTAATGCATGCTGTGTTTACCTGTAATGAGTTAATACATTGAACATGTACCAACTTTTATTAAGATGTAATGATAATTATAGCCTGACCAGGAACATAAAAACCCTCGCCATGTTGCGGAAAACTAATGGTACTAATTTCTTTTAATGGCAACAGTAACTGAAAACTTCATTGACATGTCACATTGCATGTCAGTCTATTGTTGTCAAAGTGTAAACAAACTTTATTTTAAATGTTTGCAATTGATTTTGTGAATTAAATTGCTGAAATATTTTTATAGTCGTGAAAGAAAAGTGGTTCACGGTGTGTTAATGTATTTGTCGAAG